TCTAAAGATTTATTTAAACTTTCAAGTGATTCTGTAAATTTGTCCATATTTAAATAAATTGCTCCACGTTGTATTAATGCCCAAACATTATATGGATTTATTTCTAATAAATTGTTAAAAACATTAAGCAATTTATCATAATATCCGTCCATCTCAGGAATATAATAATTATTTCTACGCATTTTATTAATCCTAAGTCTTGAATAGTTTTTTAAAAATGTCGTTTCTCCTGGAAGAATTAACGATTTATGTAAACATAAAATAAAATTATCAATATGTTTACTTTTAAAAAAAATAGAATCGAAAATCTGATTTAATAACCTGATTTTCTTGTTGAACTCAACACAGTTATAGTAAATTTGAATTGAATGTTTAAAACTTTTAAGTGGAACATTAGCAAAAAGAAAAAGTACACAATATAGATCTATTTTTCTATTCATAATATAAAGTTCCAATTTCTTTAATTGATTATTAGCTTGGTGAATTAGAGCAAGATCTTCTAACGTATAAATTGGAATTTTCAAATATTCAAGACCTATCACATGATGTGCAATAGTTTTGATGAGTTGAGTAGTATCTATAGGATCACGGGTATGCCAGTCAAGTATAATTCTTTTAAGTGTATTACAACTCTTCTTAATAAGACCAGATAATAACCTAATAGGAGTTGAATGGTCATTAATCTTATAAGCTCCATATGAATATTCTAAAGATGTTAAGTTTGAAAAACTATTAGTAATCCGAAGAAATAAAGGAGTGTAGAGCCCTTCACAGTGTTTAAATTTCACTTTGTTGATTTTTGTACACTGGGCAAGTGCGTTGATGGCATCTCTATTTAATTCACAAATTGTATAATTAAAAAATCCCTTATCACGTAATTTACGGTTTCTATGCATATCTTCAAATGTCACACTGTTAAGCCCTTTTTGACCCACAAGGGCTTGTATTGGAAATGATGCAAAAATATTGCTATTTATCAGAGAGAACTTTTTTAAATTTTTTTGAGAACGGATAAGATCTGCTAATGCTATTCCTTCATCCTCATGCCAAACACTGGCCTTAATTTTTTCAATATAATGACA